ATTTAACAATTGGGAGATTATTAAATATACTATGATATATCTTTGAGTTATACTGTAGTCATTTAAAAATAATATTTTGAAGATTGCTGGCATAGAAAACTGTTATGACATAAAAGCATTATGTAATATGATCCCAATTTTATAAGCAATAGAAAAACTACTGAAAGGAAGTACATTTTGCCTCACATCTTCTCTTCCTGTCTTGCATAGTTTGAAATCTATGGCCCAACATTGTAAAATCTCTCACCCACACAAATATTTTAAAGCCCTTGCCCCTTACTTTCTGAGAAATTTCATTCCAGATGAAAATTATCTACCTGTCTTGTGCCAGAACTGGCTAATATTGCTCATAGCAACGAATATCTCAAATATTCACTCAATGCTACAAGAGAATATTATTACATTTCCCTAACAATTTCATTTTCCATTCAAATAACAATTTAGAATCATAGAATTTTAATAGTAGAAAAGATTTTTGAAATTTATTCCAATCCACAGATTTTATAAATGGAAAAACAGGCATAGAGAGTGGAAGTGACTTGACTAGAAGTTACATAGAAAGTTAGGGACAAGAATAGAATCTGAATTTTTTGATATCATGTTTAGTATTCTTTTGTTTCCTTCACTCATCTTAGGGCTTTGTTTTGCACTGATGGTGTTAGGAATTTAAAAGGTTTACGTTTTTGGTAGACCTCTCCTGGATTTCCTTTGCGTTTATTCAACTAATTCTTTTTTACTTTCATTAACTGATATATATATGGTTACTGGTAATCCCGGGGAAGTTGAAATTAAAACAATTCTTAATTTTTTCTCTTGGTGTTTTTCTACTTTTTCTAAACAAATAATATATTTGATATTAGAAAAAATAATGCTAGTGAAAAAAGAATGTATTCATCTATTATTCATAAGTAAAAATAAATACTTTTGTCCTAGAAAATAAAACCAAAAGGCCGGGCACAGTGGCTCACGCCTGTAATCCCAGCACTTTGGGAGGCCGAGGCGGGTGGATCACGAGGTCAAGAGATCGAGACCATCCTGGTCAACATGGTGAAACCCCGTCTCTACTAAAAAGACAAAAAATTAGCTGGGCATGGTGGTGCGTGCCTGTAATCCCAGCTACTCAGGAGGCTGAGACAGGAGAATTGCCTGAACCCAGGAGGCGGAGGTTGCGGTGAGCCGAGATCGCGCCATTGCACTCCAGCCTGGGTAACAAGAGCAAAACTCTGTCTCAAAAGAAAAAAAAAAAAGAAAACCAAAGATAAATGTTTGTTCACCTGTAACTTTGTTTATAATATGAAACACAAATAGCTTAAATGTTAGGTAGTAATATAAGCTAATTTGGACTTTATTATATATACACATAATATAAATAATAAATGTTTTAGTTATAAATGCTACCTTTGTTTCTCCTTTACTCCTTGTTCCAGTGAATGGAATCACCTTATACTCAAAGCCCAAAAACCTGGGACTCATCTTTAATTCTTCCTACTTTCTCACCTCTGCAACACTAAAACCTCTTAATTCAACTTTCATAATAACGCTTGAATCCATCAATCTCTACCTGTCTCCACTGTCACTACCTTAATCCATCATCTCCACCATTGTCTCTAACTCAGATTCCTGTAACTGCTTTCTAATTGGTGTCCCTGCCTCCTGCATCCATTTGTCACACTGGAGCAGAACTACTTTTCCTACAAACAAAATTAATTATTTTCATTCTTTGAGCAGTGTTGCTAGACCTTATACATGTGTTATGGATGAGCTGTGTAAAAGTTGTGTAAAACATAGTTCCCACTCTCCAGATGGCTTGTTACTTTTTAAACCACTTTAATATTTCCCACAGTTCAAGCTCATAAATTTGAACCACAACCTTTGTGATCTGGTATCTGCCAACCTCTCCAGACTCATCTTCAGACACATACCCTATTTTCCCTGAACTCTCCTCTTTTACCAGTCATAGTTTTGTTGGTTACGCTTTTAAAATAAGACTTTCATATTTGGGCTGGGCATGGTTGCTCACACCTATAATCCCAGCATTTTGGGGAAGCCATAGCAGTTCTCCTGCCTCAGCCTCCTGAGTAGCTGCGATTACAGGCAACTGCCACTGTGCCTGGCTAATTTTTATATTTTTAGTAGAGACAGGGTTTCACCATGTTGGCCAGACTGGTCTTGAACTCCTGACCTCATGATCCACCCACCTGGACCTCCCAAAGTGCTGGGATTCAAGGTGTGAGCAACCATGCCCGGCCAGTGTTTTCATAATCTCTGTAAACTGTGTTACCATCCATTGAACTGTTTAGGCAAAAAACCTGGAGCCATCCTTTACAATTGTTTCCCCTCACCTCTATATTAAATTGATCACAGGTACCAGACAACTAGAGATAGCGCCTATACTCTAGAGCCTGCTGAAATTATTCAAACTAGCCAATCCTAAACCTCTTTACCCTGCTTTGCCTTGCCATTCCCATGGAAACCATAATAAAGGCTCTCACCCATGCTTTTTCCTTATTTATTCTGCCTCCTGACCTCCCCAGTCCTTCCCTGTGTAATGATGTGTGACATGGAATGGTTTACCCCCTCATCTTGGAAGTGTGAATAACAGACTGTCTTTTCAATGGCAATTGTCTCTTCATCTATTGGCCATACCATACCTGAATAATAATAAAACCTACATTTTAAAACACACCATGACCAAGTTTAAACCTTTTCAATGGCTTACCATTGCTTTTCAGATGAAATTAGGAATTCCTTTCCATCTAAAATATTTTGCCTGACCTGTTTGCTCCTTATCTCTTCACCCTCATTTTATATCTCTTCTCTCCCTCACTAAATAAGTTTCAACACTGTTCGGCTTTCAGTTCTTCACATTTTGTTCTTACCACAGGACCTTTGCATGTGCTGTTTCCTTTACTTCAGCTTCTCCTTTTCCCTCAGTCCTGCTTTACCTTAATCACTTCTGCACATTTTTGAGGTTTTATTTTATGTGTCACTTCTTCAGTGAAGGTTTCCATGATTCCCTAAGTTAGGATGCCTATTTTATGATTGTGATATTCTGTGCTTATCCTTTATAGCACTTATAATTATAAGTAAATATGTATTTGTGCAATTAACTGCTTAATGTCTCTCTCTACGGAAAGATTATAAAGCAACATGAGGCTAAGGACCATTCTGTCTTCAGCACTGCATAATGCCAGACACCTAGTAAGTGCTTAATAAATATTTGTTGACTCTCTGAATAAAAAAGGATGATAACAACTGTTTCAGCTACTTTTCATAGGCTGTTTAGATAAGCCTATGAGATAATACAGAGAAGGTAGATCTTTTAATATCCTACCCTCTAAATAAATAAATAGAAAGTCTGCAAAAACCGGCCCTTTAGTTACCTCAGTAAATTCTGGAAATGTCAAATGGCTGTAGTAAGATTCTGCTAACACATGAAAACTGAAAAATAAGGAAGACAAAAGACTAATGTTCTGCATATCATAAAATTTGTGGTAGATTTAGCTACAGTATACCATGATTCTCTGCCAGCTGTTTTGAATGTTTAAAAGTGATTCAAGGGAAAGGTTTTGGAGGCAACATAATATAGGGGTATGCTCCGGAGTCCACTGAAATTCTGGCTCTGCTACTAATTACCTCTGTGATCTTGGACAAGTTACTGAAACTATATCAACTTCAGTGTTCTCATCTTGAAATGGAGATAATAATAGCACCTACCTTAGAACTGTAAAAATTAAATGAGATAATGACTAAAAGCAGTTAACTTTAAGATCTTGTATAAATGTTGTTATTTTCATTATTCTAATAATTTACCAGAATACATCATTCACTCTACATAAGCTCTCTTCCTACTTCCTAGAATGTCTTTCTCCACTACCCCATTTCATTTCATTCCTGCCATCACCTTCTCTGGCTTCTGTGTGCCCCTTTTGTTGCAATCCTTACTCTATATTCAATCATGCTTTCATTCCTTAACCTCTAATTAGAATGTGAACTCCTTGAGGGCAGTAACTGTGTCTTAAAATTGTATCCTCAGCTCTTGACACACTACATGGCATGTAGTGGATATTCTATTAAAGAATTAATTAAATGTATATCTAGTGATAAATAGACTGTAAGATTGGTATCTACAATACCTAGCTTAGTGTCCAGCTTGCAGTTTAACATATAAGGACTATAATTATTATTACTATTATTATCATTGCTAATAATAATAAATGTTATTTTTAAGAGGTATACTTTACTTGGATTAATAAAATTATTTCCCTGGCCATTAATATCTCTTTTTATGTATGTTAGTGGACACTTTATCCATTTGACATGATATAAGAAGGATGGAGATGCAAAAGAATACTGATAGGTAGATGATGGACATCATTTTTTTCTGGAGGTGCAGTATCATAGTTTATAATACCAGATGATACGAGCAGCACGGTGACAAGTCTGCCCTTCAGCACTAGTGAGTCAGGCACCCTGCTTAGGTTAGGATGCTCGGATGATAACCTTGTTTGTTCAAAAACAGTAAACTACATACACTCAGAGTAAATTGGATGATAAATATGTGAAAAAGAATTAGTAAAAGAAATGAAATAAGAGCTGAAACATTTTTTTTTTTTTTGAGACAGGGTCTTGCTCTGTTGCCCAGTCTGGAGTGCAGTGATGCAATCACAGCTCACTGCAGCCTCAGCCACTCAGGCTCAAGTGATCCTTTCACCTCAGCCTCCCAAGTAGCTGGGACTACAGGCACGTGCCACCATGCCCTGCTGATTTTTTTTTTTTTTTAAGTTTTTGTAGAGACAGAATATCACTGTGTTAATCAAACTCCTAAGTTCAAGTGATCCTCCAACCTTGGCCTTCCAGAGTGCTGGGATTACAGGTGTGAGCCTCTGTGCCTGGCATAACAGCTGAAAATCTTCATCATTTTGATATTTTATTTTGATTTGCATAATGATTGCTACTCCATGATATTCAAGCCTGTTATCTATCTTTGTTTCTTATAGCTATTGGATGAACTCCCAATGATATACAGCTGTTGCATATTTGTTTACTGCATGTAAGTAGTTTTAAAGTTTCATTGTTTGATATATTTTAAAATTTATATTCACCTCATAGTAGAGTAATATAACTAACACATTTCTATTACTAGGAGATTGTAATAATGTAGAAGATTATACCTTTTATGATATCAATGTAGAGTATAATTTCTGGGAAGTTATAATAATGTTATTAACTTTTGTGATCTCAAAACCCTGTAGCCAATTTAGATAGAATCTAAATAACTTGATTTGTGTAAATTGCCTTTCCCAAGTGAACAGTGTGTACAAATTTAAAGATTTTCATATTGTGCCATAAAAGTTTTCAGATAAAGTTTCTGTATTCTACAATATAGTTTAACAAGAAGCTTACCAGAAAAGTGAGGTACACTTCTAGTTGTATAGTGATTGCGTCAACTTAATCTCCTTTTTGTTTGAAATTATCTTTTAAATAGATACTTGTTTTCTTATTCCAAGGTAGACTAAATGCTCTCAAGAATATACTTGAGAATATACTTGATTGGCTATTTACAAATATGGAAACAGTTTACAGACCACTCCCATTCCAAAGTTTTCTTACTGTATTAATTCTTACTTTATTACCAAGTTAATATGCATTTCCTGAATCTCAAGAAAAACAAATCAATCTTGAAAGATAAAAATGATTATGATGGTAACATTAATAAATCCTAATATTTATCTACTTTGTACTGTGCTAGGCAGTGTACAATGCCATCTCTAATTTTCAACAATTGTGCAAGATAAATGGATATTGTCCCCATTTTATAGACAAGGGAGTAAAGCAAAGAGAGATGTAGTGACTTGTCCATGGACAATAACAGAGTTTGATTTAAAAGCATACTGGCCAGGCCATTGTCCAGGTAAACAGTCTCTAAGGAACACTAAAATATCCCTGGAAATATATCATGATGGAGAAAATTACAGTGATCACAACTCCTCTCAAGGAGAGGTTGGAAGAACACTTTGAATAGGCTGCCTGGGTATGTGGTAGAAGTACAGAAGTGGGACCCTTCCTGTAGTGCATGATCAAATAATGTGCCTTCTAAGGAGGGAAGGTGAGGTTGGCTATAGGCCTTCTATTTGAGTAAGTTAGGGTATGCAGGTTTGGGCTCTAGATAAGTCACCGAGAACATTAGAGGAAAGCCTTCACCCATCACCCTGCAGCATAAGCCTTCTCTAAATGTTGGACAAGTATATTAAGAATATGTGTTTGGAGGGGCAACAAATTACTAGCTTATGTAAGGACCCACATACCTGAGTCAGGCCCTAGTAACAAGGCTTTTGATGGTAGCAGCAGCCAAGGTGGAGCGGCTACTGCAAAGATGCCAGCTGTAGCAGGGGAGGCAAAGCTGGCAGGGTCCAGGAACAGGTGGGAACTCCCTCCACTACTGAGTTGGTGGGGCAGCAGTCCCACACTCCCAGGCATAGCTATAGCTCCCCAGCCACAGCTCTGGACCTGGGCATCCTTGCACTCTTGGAGGTCCAGGAAGCCCCTTACCCTTGCAGGCTTGAAAGTACCTGCTCCCACTGCTTGGCCTCTTTCCACTCCCAGCGCCCACTCCAGGGCACAGCAAAACTGTGACTGAGCCCAGATGCTGTAGCAACCTGGCCAGGTGTGCATGTGCTTGGGGTGGTGCTGCCATGCCAGCCCCCTGCAACCTCAGCCCCCTCTGGACTTTGGGCACTGACTAGCATGAGAGGGGGGCTGAGGGGGTACTGAGGGCAACTTGGCATGGGCCTGCAGGCACTTCTCAGCAAGAACAACCTGGGCACCATGGGCCATATGTTGATGGCAGCAGGGGGCAGACAGGTTCCTGGGCAGAAAAGGGCAGATCCCTAGTGAAGCTCCATCTTCAAGCTGGGTACAGCATGAAGCCTGAGACCCAGGCTGCCAGTTCTGGGTGGAGTTAGTGGCCCAGAGTGAGAATTTATGGTGCTTTTTCCAAACCCTTCCATGGCCACCATGCCATGGATCAATCAGCACTCACTTCCTCCCTTCTAAGCCCATAAAAACCCCAGACCCAGGCAGACTCACACAGATGACCAGAGGACCTACCTCAAATAGGAGCTACACACTCTGGGTCTCCTCTCTACTGAGAGCTGAACATTTGTTGGAATGACCTGCCTGCAGATAGGAGCTATCCACTTCAGGTCTCCAAAGAGCTCTTCTGTCACTCATAAAGCTCCTCTCTGACTGTTCAGCCTTCAGTTGTCTGCACACCTCATCCTTCCTGGATACAGGACAAGAACTCAGGACGTGCTGAATGGTGGGCTGAAAGAGCTGTAACACAAACAGGGCTGAAACATACCTCTCTCCCCTTCTTGCCCCATTGCAGGTGACAAGAAGGAGAGATGAGCTGTGGCCCTTCAGGGAGCCCAGACCTAGGGGCTCCACAAGACAGGGCTGTGACACCCTTTTTGGAGCTCTTTGGTTTCTGGCATCTCCAGGTTTCCAGGTGCTACCACATTCCCCTTGTCCAGATGTGGGTGCCCATAGTGGAAGATGCTTATGGTGTATCTGATCAAACCACAGGGTTGCACGGAGCCAGTGCCTGTGTTGGCTTCTGGAACCGCCCACCCTGCTACAACAGCTGGTATGCCTGACTGGGCATGGTGGCCAGACCCCAACCTTGCTCATTCATGCACTCCTGACCATTACACACCTGGCTTTCCGTTGGCAGGCATGGGATACAGGCTGGTAGCATGAACCAAATGCAGCCTGCAAGGTCAAGTGGGTGGAATGAACCCAGTGGGCTGGAACAAAACTCAGGCAAAAGTGCTATCAGCCACAGAGGTTTCCAGCTAGAAAAGCAACACCCTAAGGATCCTGAGACACTTTTAAGTGGTGGAGCCACAATTTGAAGCAGTTCTTATCAGACTTGAATTTCATGATACCACTCACAAAGTTAATAGTACACACTAAAGTAATTGAAAGTTTTTTATCTTTTATTTTGAGTGATCTATAACCACTATATCACTGTTGGTTCTTACCTTTACTAAGACTGATCTTTAGCCAGAAACAATAAAAGTAAGAACGCCCATCTAGCTGCTATGATTTATATGGTGTCAAGCCCTATTTCAAAGTTAGGTAAGAAGATGTAGAACAGCAGCCTGGCCAACAGGGTGAAAACCCATGTCTACTAAAAATACAAAAAATTAATCAGGCGTAGTGATGTGTGCCTGTAGTCCCAGCTACTCAAGAGACTGGAGTGGGAGAATTTCTTGAACCCGGGAGGTGGAGGCTACGATGAGCTGAGATGGCACCACTACACTCCAGCCTGGGTGACAAAGTGAGACCCTGTCTCAAAAAAGAAAAAAAGATGTAGAATAGAGATCAGCAAACTTTTTTGTAAAGTGCCAGATGGTAAATATTTTAGGCATTATGGGACAGGAGTCTCTGTTACAACTCTTCAGCTCTGCTGTTGTAGCTTGGAAGCTGCCATAGATAATATGTAAATGAATGAATGTCACTATGTTCCAGTAAAATGTTATTTTAAAAAACAGGTTTAGGCTGGCCACGGTGGCTCACACCTGTAATCCCAGCACTTTGGGAGGCCTAGGCAGGTGGATCACCTGACGTCAGGAGTTCAAGACCAGCCTAGCCAACATGGTGAAACCCTGTCTCTACTAAAAATATAAAACTTAGGCCGGGCCGGGCGCGGTGGCTCAAGCCTGTAATCCCAGCACTTTGGGAGGCTGAGGCGGGTGAATCACGAGGTCAAGAGATCGAGACCATCCTGGTCAACATAGTGAAACCCCGTCTCTACTAAAAATACAAAAAATTAGCTGAGCATGGTGGTGCGTGCCTGTAATCCTAGCTACTCAGGAGGCTGAGGCAGGAGAATTGCCTGAGCCCAGGAGGCAGAGGTTGCGGTGAGCGAAGATTCGCGCCATTGCACTCCAGCCTGGGTAACAAGAGCGAAACTCCGTCTCAAAAAAAAAAAAAAAAAAAAAAAAACTTAGGCCGGGCGCAGTGGTTCACACCTGTAATCCCAGCACTTTGGGAAGCTGAGGCGGGTGGATCACCTGAGGTTGGGAGTTCTAGACCAGCCTGACCAACATGGAGAAACCCTGTCTCTAGTAAAAAATACAAAATTAGGCAGGCATGGTGGCAGATGCTTGTAATTCCAGCTACTCAGGAAGCTGAGACAGGAGAATTGCTTGAACCCAGGAGGCAGAGGTTGTGATGAACCGACGTTGCGCCATTGCACTCCAGCCTGGGCAACAAGAGCAAAACTCCATCTCAAAAAACAAAAATTAGCTGGGCACAGTGGCGTATGCCTGTAATCCCAGCTACTAGGGAGGCTAAGGCAGAAGAATCACTTGAGCCTGGGAGGCAGAGGTTGCAGAGAGCCGAGGTTGCAGTGAGTCAATGTAGCATCATTGTACTCCCACCTGGGCGAGAGTACAATCTCAAAAAACAAAAAACAAAAAAAAACCCAGGTTTAGCTGGACACAGTGGCTTATACATGTAATCCCAACACTTTGGGAGCCCAAGGCGGGAGGATCACTTTAGCCCAGGAGTTCAAGATAAGCCTGGGCAACATAGGGAGACCTCATCTCTACAAAAATTAAAAAATTAGCCAGGCATGATAGTGCATGCCTCTGGTCCCCCCTACTTGGGGAGACTGAGGTGGAAGAATCACTTGGGTCCAGGATGCTAAGGCTGCCTGATTGTGCAATCATGCTCCCAGGATTGTGCTACTGCACTTCAGCCTGCGCAACAGAGGGACACCCTGTCTCAAGAAAAACAACAAACAAAAACTAACAAGAAACAGACTCAGGCCAAGAGATTGGCTCTTGAACCACAGTTTGTTACCTTGATCTAAAAAAATACTTTGGGGTAAACTCCTTTTGATAACCTTTTTTTTTTTTTTTTTTGAGATGGAGTCTCACTCTGTTGCCCAGGCTGGAGTCCAGTGGCGTGATCTCAGCTCACTGCAAACTCCACCTTCCAGGTTCAAGCGATTCTCCTGCCTCAGCCTCCCGAGTAGCTGGG